TTCAATTTGCTCATTTGTGTTTTGCTTCATACTTGATGTTGACTATCAGTCTTAGTCGCTTGCCTTCTTTGTGTATCTTTGGTAATCTCTAGGCTGTTGGTGGTTGTTTATCATTTTTTATGATTGAATTTCTTGTCCATGCGTCAATTTCCCCATTTTTATGCATGTCTTTCAGAATTTAACTTCAGATTCCATTGATATTTATAGTTGGGGCCTTGTTCAGTAGACGATATGCGGTCCTGACTCGTAGAATATGTTCTATCTTCTCTGTATATTGTTTTTTGTCCATTATCACTTTAGCTCCTCCTTTGTCCGCCTTAAGGGCTAATTGCTCATTCGTTTTCAGGGTTTTGTGTATCACGGCAAATCTGTTCCTGTGCTTAGGCTCCTGATGTGTCAAGATCTTTGGAATTATTGCCATTTCTAAATTGGAAAAGTTTATATGTTTGAAAGTTAATAAATTTAATGAGAGGCTATCAAACACGTTGAAACATTCATATGAGTTTTCTCAAAAAATCAACAACATGGCACTGGGAGAAACGGACTTGTTGGAGAGAATGCACCAACCGCCCTGCTGGAAATCCTGGATCGAGAGGATAATATCCTGGAATGACAAAGGATCAGGAGGGAGTCGTTAATAAGACTAATCAGCCTGACAATGGGGACAACCTATTTTACATTAAACGGGAACATCTATGAACAAATATTTAGACTTCCCATGGGATCGCCGCTCTCACCACTTTTGGACAACGTGAACATGTACAAAATGGAAGAGAGCTTCAAGACGGCACTGCTTCAACCGACAGTGCTCATGCGGTACTTGGATGATTACTTCGCACTTTGGTCACATGGAAGAGAAAAACTGGAAGAGTTTTCTCAATTTGTAAACCAGATTGATGCAAAAATTCAATTCACGATGGAAGTAGAGGAAGGTGAGCCGTTACCGTTCCTGAACGTTGAAGTGATTCGTTCTAACGCTGAAAAAGAAATTGTTCAGAAAGAAGTCCTATGCGGGGATAATACTCCATTTGCGGTACCATCACAATTACAGGCTGAAGATTGGAATAATGAAGAGCCTACGTCTGAGGGATGCAGATTTCTGGGACGAGGAGCTGAACAAATTGACTAGGATTTTCCTCGGCAATGGCTACCCAAACGAAGTGATACAAAAAACATACAGGCCGTGAAAAGCCGATGGCAGAACGGGGACTATGAAAGAACAGTAAGGACTATGGACGATTCATAAAAGTGGATATGCTTACCTTGCTGCGAACTAACTCAAATACGACAGTCAATATTGAGGAAATGCAATATTCAGATGGCCATTAGAGAGAAATCCACACTTTTCACAAGTCTACCCACGCAACATGAAGCATTAGATAAATTTGAGTGTTCAGGAGCTTACTGAATATCATGCAGCGTGTGAAAACATACATTTATTAACGAAACAGGGAGAAAAATTAGCTCACGAATCAAGGAACATCACAGGCTCTGCGGAAGATTAGGAAGGCCATTGACATGCTTAGAGAGAACAATCTAATGAACGGGAGATTGGATGAGGGTAGAGTTAGCGATAACTTTGCCCACTGCCTAAGCAAAATCGGGGAAAATAAGAATGGAGCAAGACCAGAAAAAAAGAGACGCCTGGATCAAGGATCTACCCCTAACCGGAGAAAAAGGGATCGCGATGAAGAAAAGGGGTTTTTTGGCAATAAAGCGAATGATTTGTCAGTGAATGAGGTCCGTTTCTAATAAACCAGCTCAACTTTGGGGGCCTGGTAGTCAAGGCGCTGGGCAGGCGGATAAGCAAACCGTCACGGAAATTCGACGTTATAGCCAAAATGTACAAGAAATCCACTTGAGATGCCGCATTTGACAAGAAATAGGCGTCTACAGTTTGCTCAGAATACATGGCTTCAATCAAGGAGACGACCCGTGAAGGGAATTTCTGATCTCTGCAAGCATGGGAATCACAGTCTAGACGCTCTGCTCGGTGTGGCAGCAGTGTACGTGCTTCCAGGACTTTGAGAAATAGCGTCTGGAATGAAACGGTCACTAGGACTGGAACCGAGAGAAATCGGTCAACCAGCAAGATCAGGATCAGATCTACGGGACCATAAGTTGATCCGGATTGGAGGCCCGAGTCAGATAAGCCGATAGAAAGAGAGGAGGTCGGGGTGAATAGCAAGTGTGATGAGACCATACTAGATTTGCCACATTTTGACGAGTGGAATGTGAACAAGTGAGAAGTTGCGATAGGGCGGCAATGGGATTAGAGGATAAAGAGTAGATAGATAGACAATGACAGAAAGAGGAGTGATAGGGAAACCGTTTTCGGCGGGATTGACTTCACATGTCTCTTTGACAAGTTCGTGGATTGGTGCGGCAAATGGGAAAACTCACTGATGATGCCGACTACGATGCCGGCGAAACGTTTGAGAATGTACCAAGACCGCTTTCTGATGCTGGGAATCATGACAACTACTGTGGCAGACGACTTTGGACTCGGTGCGTTCTACATAGTCTCCCTGAACACAATACCAAGTTGCGACGTGGTAAACCCACTTCTATTAATCCTTTATTTTAAAAGGTCAACAGAAGTTAGTAATATGGAGTCTGATCTAGTCTTTGCAACTTGATGGTGCTGTCATTTGGATGACCTCTGTCCGAAGTCCTCTGCTATAGTAGCTGCCATAATTCATATAATCGGAATGAGGACTGGTTAATTTCCAAGAATTTTGCCGGCATTCTAGTCGGCATTGTCAGTGACTCTTATCATTCTTAGCACCAAGCTACAATTCT